TCACCTACAGTAAAGAAAATTAAATTTCATGCTTCAAGGCTTAAGCTGATTGCATAGCAAGGTTTTGCTGCGTGCCAGGGACAATTCTTCCTCCTCCTGAAATGCTGTGGAGGCAGATGGATGTGTCATGGATCTCCTCCCAGCTCTCCCCCAGAGCTCAGACTGCAATGAACCTATTTCAACATTATCACTTTTGTTAATGTAACAGAGAAAAAGACTTGAGAGCATCTATGAACATCCCCTTTGCTGCCCCAGCCAGGGAGCCTTTGCCTCATCTCGTGCTTCACGCAAGTTTGGTCAGATCATAAAGGAACAGCCACATGGCCAGGTTCAGCCTCAGGATCTGCAGCTGAAAGGAGTTGCAGCTGCTTCAGGGATCTCCAGGGAATACAGGAAAGCAGAGCCATGAAGCCCTTAYAATAGATGCATACATTATTTTAATGACAAAGTCATTTCAATTATTCCAAAATGAAATGTTTAGAAACTTTCCTTTAACCAAAATCTTCCACTCTAAGACAAACAGAAACGTTGAAATGTGAGACTCTTCTGTCAAACAGAAACTCTGAGTTGTGGCAACACAAATCATAATTGAAACAATGACACAGAAATTATTTATGTTTAAAAAAAACCCACCATGAGAAGGAATCTTGGATTAGGCCACCTTTGTGAAACCGGTGAGTAAATCATGGGTGCTTTCCCGGAATCTGCCTTGTGGCAATTCCCGATGCTTGAAAGCTAAAGAAGAACTAGTGTTAGKACAAGGGGAATGGYTTCAGAYKGAAAGGGATAGATTTAGACTGGATATTGGGAAGAAATTCTTCCCTCTGAGGATGGTGAGAYCYTGGCACAGGTTGTCCAGAAAAGCTGTGACTGCCCCATCCCKGGAAGTTTCCAAGGCCAGGTTGAACAGGACTTGGGGTACCCTGGGATAGTGGAAGGAGTCCCTGCCYATGGCAGGGGATGGGACTGGATGGTTTTTAAGGTCCCTCCCAACCCAAACCATTCTGTGTTTGTATGATATTAATTCTCTGAAAGGGACGTTTCATAACGAGCACTCAAAAAAGACAATATTCTTTTGGATGTGCCCTTATACAATTGACAAAAGTTAAGATCGAGCTTAAAATATATACAGAACACTAACAGGCAAAAGGTATAATATTTTCTTCACCAAAACAGAGAGATCCAAAGTTAGATCCACAGTGCTATTGCTGCAACACTTCTGGACATGAGTGTGGCATGCCCATGCATACATATTCCCTGCTCTATTTATCAAATCCACTGCTTGAGGCATTGAAAGAGAGATGTCAGGTCTGAATAAATTAATTCATGGGTGTGTTTTGGGCCAGCCAAACCATTGCTGGTTTTTGTGTAACACCACAGGCCAAAAGGATATTGGGTGATAAATAGATCCTGGTCCTGTGACAGCACAAATCACAATGAACTCATGGATTTGAGATGGTTTGCAACTGACAGGAAAGCATGAGGTCGGAATCTGGCACAGGGACCAYGGAGGAATGAGCAAACCACAGGGGCCAGATGTGATCTGTCCAGATGTGATCTGTCCAGCACATGTGCAGGGCTGGGGAGCACGCTGCAAGGTTAACTCTGTGCTGGCTTTTTTGGGGGAGGTACGGCAGTGCCCTGGAGCTGAGTGTGGCAGTGCCCCAGAGGTGAACTGGGAGGCTGCAAAGGTGGGCAGGAACATCCCTTTCCCTTCAGGAAGGAGAGGAGACAGCAATCTCCTGCTGTGCTCTTGGAGCCAAACAATCAGCGGCTTCATTGTGGGAACCGAAAGCTGGGGCAGCAAATCCCAAACCAAGAGTGGCATTCAGGTGTGTGCTGGGGGCAAGAGGAGCAGCTTTGTCCCCTCTCTGCAGCTACAGCACCCCAGTTACRTGCTGTGATGAAAAACATGAGCCCCTTTGCTGCTCAGCAGTCAAARTGAAGAAATGCCATGTAGCAGAGAGTCAGCTCTGCTTTGTGCCACCACCACGGTGCCAGGGTGACAGCAGCAGTGACAGCCACCTGCATCGCTGGAAGAAGTACACAGATAAACACGAGAGCCTCTGTGCTCCTCTGAAAACATCTCCATCACCCCATCACTGCAATCAGTGAGCAATGAGAACTGAAGGACTTTTTCAAGTCACTCTTCCTGCATTTTTACACATTTTCAGGGGCATTGTAGATTCCTCCTGGTCACACTGCTGGGGGACAAGTGAGACAGGTTCCCTGCCAAGCATTTCCTTGACATGCCAAGTGACACATCGTAAGTCCACAGGACAGATTAAGGTTTATCTCTAATTAAATGGCTCAGTGAGTAAGCTTTAATAGGATGAAGGAGCCAGGAAGAATTAGAGAGTTTGCTGGGGAGCTGCCCTGGTCTAGCACTACACAAACACTCGTGATTTGGTTGTGTTTAAAAGCATACTAACACTATTTCGTCCCACCAGTGTCACAACTCCAGCTTTTGTGGCAAAATTTCATCAAAAAMCACTCGTTTTCAAATTTTGGAACTTTTAAAGCAAATTATTTTCAGTATAAATYTACACTTATTAGAAAAATCTTGATTGTGGAAAAGTAAGAATTGAAAGTAGCAAAGGTTTTTGAGTGCATTCAATGCTGGAAATGGGTGGAGTTTCACTTTTGGAGTTCCTGTGTCAGTGTGGAAACTCATAAACATTTTATCATTGTGTAAYGGAATTTTCAGATCTTAAAATTTCAGAAATATAATGAAGTGATAATTTTTAAGAGCTATATTTGAATGTGTTTCTCCCATTGCTCTTTTAAAATTATACTTCATTATTTTTGCCTTGCAAGACTGGCACTAGTTAAACAAGTATTAAATCAGAAACATAAAGAATATCCATGGTGGATTTAAAATGACAGGTCAGGGGTATACAGACCATGCCTGGTAGAGGGCAACAAGCTGAGTATATAGGTCTTGAAAAAAAAATCTTTCATGAATTCCTGTGTTAACCTACAAAATAGTTCTGTTTAAAGTTGTAGGGTGGGGAGAAATCCATGAAGAGGCTGGAAAAACAAAGAATACAAACCAACCCCTAATTGTGAACAAGAGTGCTCTGTAGTGCCCTGGCTCTCTTTCACTTTTGTTTCCATTCTTTTTGAAAGGAAACTCCCTCAAATGAGATAGGACCTCCCTAAACAACTAGAATGAATAGCCACAAAAACTCCCTTCATCAGGCAGGAGTCTTCATCCAAGTCAGCTTCCACCTTCTAACTGATTCTGCCCATAACTGTCTCACATTAACTTTCTTCCTTAGGAATTTATGCAACATGATAAACAAAGCAGAAGGAGCCCAAACAGTCACACTRATTTTCTTGAGAAATCAGAGGAGGGGACCATGAGTTCACTTTTGAGAAGATGMTAATCTTCTCCATCTGACATGTGGGAATTACACAGATCTGAACAGTTTTGGCACATGGACTGAATGTCTCTAAGGGTCAGGCRAATAAACTGCCTGCTGCCACGTTGAACAGGGATTCGGGGATTATTTTGYTGCATTATGATGGAAGAAAAAACAATTCATTTTTCTCTAAAAAGTTGAATACARTGCAGTTACACCTTCTAAATATGACCTCAATAGTCAGGGGAGGTTCAGATATCTTGATTCGAATTTTCCCCTGTAATTATACTGAGAACTCCCTCCTGCATCCTGGCATTCAGGCTGCAGATGTTGAGCAGGAGCCAAAATTTCATCCCACCCTGCAGCCAACAGCATGAAAGGCAACTAACTCAAATCTCTGCATTTGGATTTGAAATTCCATGGCTACATAGTCAGGAKAGTCAGCTACCTTTGCTGATTTAAAACTGTCAGTAGATCATTATGGATTTGCTTATAATGCAGTCTGTGTGTGGTGAAGGTGTCAAAATCCAGGGAAAGTCAACCRACACACCCTAAAGCATGGACATGCCTTTGGATAACTTCTGTCTGGGTGGAACAGTTTGGASAAAAGATTGCAAGAAGGAGCCTTAGAGGTCCGAGAACCAACCAACCAACCAACCAAACCCCAAAGTACCTTCAGATAAAGAAAGCTCCAAACGTACCTGATGTCCACGTGCAGTGACTACAATCTTGTCATGACCAGGGAGTAGAAGAACTGGTCACACTGGGAGGGAGCTCCTGGCAGAGGTTACTGGCTCACAGGCACCTTTCTGTGGTGTACAAGCTTTGCAGGAGAAGCTGCAGAGGACAGGACACAGATAGGACAGCTCAGGAAGGACATGGACCTGTTGGAGTRAATTCTGGTGATGCTTAGAGAGCTGGAGCACCCCTTATGTGAAGAAAGGCTGGGATAATTGGGTTTGTTCAGCTAGAGAAGGCTCCAGGGAGACCTCAATGCAGCCTTTCAGTACTTGAAAGGGGCTTATAAAAAACATGGGGACAAACTTTTTAGCAGGGTATGTTTAGATAGAATAAGGGACAATGGCTTTAAACTGAGAGAGGATTAATTAAAATTAGATATAAGAAAAGGCTTTTACACACAGGGTGGTGAAACACTGGCACAGGCTGTCCAGAACAGCTGAGGATGCACCATCTCTGGAAATGTCCAAGGCCAGGTTGGACAGGGCTTGGAGAAACCTGGGATAGTGGAAGGTGTCCCTGTCCAAGCCAGGGGGCTGGACAAGCTGCACTTTAAGTCCCTTTAAGCCAAACCAATCTGTGATTCTATGATTCCATAACACAAGTTAAGAAAACTCCTGGCTTCCCTGTGCACATAACCAGAGCCTCAATGTATTTAAAAAAAAAAAAAAAAAACACTCAAAACGACTCCCACCATTCTTTGGTGGCGACCTCTCACAAAGTTTGCACAAAGATGCTCCAGCAGCGCAACGGCTGAGCAGTGACCGCACATGTTCAGCAATGATCCCGCACTTCGGGGGAGCGGGAGAAGGCGGCGGCACCCGGGAGGAAAGCCCGGCAAGGGAGGGGCSGGAGGGAGGGTCCCGGTGCCRCCGCCCCGCCCGYTCCACCATCAGGGCGGGCTGAGCGCGGCGCTCGCCGGGGGCTGCATTYGCCGCGGGACAGCGGCCGAGAGCCCCCGGAGCCCCCAGCCCGGCTCTGCGGCCCCAGCCAGCCCCACCATGCTGCCGGCGGGCGGCCCCAGCCCCGCGCAGACCTGCGGGGCCGTGCTGGTGGCCGCCGTGCTCCTGCAGTCCTTGTGCGTGGCCGTCACCTTCATGTACTTCACCAGCGAGCTCCGGCAGGTCGGTGCAGGGCTGGGGGGGACCCCGCGCTGCCCGTCCTG